TCAATTTAATTCCATAAGTATGCTTGCACAATTTTGGAGTTGTGACCTTATGTTTTCTATGATTCCTTATTTATTTTAATAGCAGCAGAGTGCTTTACCTCCCCTGTCATTTTCAGTAGTTTCAAAGAAATAAACATCTTCCACAGATAGTAAATTTCAAAGCCCTTATCAACACGCCGAAATAAGTATTACCTCAGGCATACTACCCTAGGATGGGATTATTGCTTAAAGGTGATAATATTGTTGAATAATCCTTCTATAAGTATTCTTTTATAAAGAGTCATTTTTAGAGGGGGGAAAAAAACCATAAAAAAGCTGCAGGTATAAACCTTTATCTCTGCTGTTGGAACTGATACTTTAAGCTTTAGTGTCTGTATTTCCACATAATATCAAAATTGATTCATGCCTGTGGTTTGAAATAGTTTTTAATACAAAGAAATTAATTTAAATTTTTTCTCATTATTTAGAAGTAAAGAATGCAGCTAGATCAAGTTACCCAAAATGTTCATATCAGTTCAAGAATGCAACTACTAATGCATTGATTGATGCCAAGTCCACTGAAGGAATCCCGGAACCTGTTCCACTTGTTAATAACCGTAAAGGGAGCCTCCTCCTACCCAACAACCCCTCGCTGCTGCACCTTAACTTACTGAGTTCTGTTGAACAAGGAAAATCTACCTACTGTAGATTGCAAAGGGCACTCAGCTTGCCTGTAAAATACCGCTACCATTCCCAAAAGCCTGGGGTGAACCAAGATCTCCGTAGGTAGCCCAGTAGATGGATGCATAAGGCAATACAGAATGGTTTGTGCATGGTTGTGCAGTCTGTTTTCAATGTGACTATGACATTACTAATGCTCTGTTAAGTGCTTACAGATGTGGGTTTCGCCAGATGTGGTGATTAATAAGTTAATCGAGATAGCTAGTCAACTAATGTCTCTGGGTGGTTTGTGCTTTACCTTTCAAAGGATTTAATTGCTTTCAAGCATTTACATGCTAGGCAGAATAAACTTACCAGGTATCCCAGTTCATATGATGTTCAGGAACATCACTGTTATTTCAAATTTCAGCTCTTTTTGGTGTCTAAAAAAGCATCTGTAAACTAGTTCAGCTAGTGACCTGGGAGAGGTAGTCAAGGAGACAGGGTTGTTATAAAAATAGTTAGAAAATAACAAAGAAAAAAGTTATTGACTTGTCCACTGTTTTGGAAGACTTTCCTTTTGTTTTGCTTTCAAAATGAAATGAGGACAAAAGTCAAGTAATATGTTGTTACAGATGTTCAACTCCACATTAAGGCTGTTTAAATTACCTGCACATCTTAAACCAATTCATGGAACATTGTCTGGAGGTTATGTCATTGAATAATGAACACGCTTTACTCCAGAATAAGCAAACCTGTTAAAACATCAGTGTAACTTTAAATTAAACTCCAGCATAAAACTGAATGCCTGATGTTTTTTTAGCATTGAGCCTTCCTGAACTGCAAAACTGTTATTAGCCAGTGAGCTCTGGATTGTTACAGCAGTACAATAAGTGTTATACTGAGGGGTGTGCAAACAAGCTCTTGAATATTAGAATTCAGAGGATGAATTGAGTTCCAAATCTATAAAACTCTGTGTCCAATTCTTGAGCTTATTTCCAATTTTCATGAAAGCGGTAAAAAAAGTCTTCATAACATAATATGGCTGTAGTTAATATAAATCCTGTAGTATAAATACATAAAAAAAAGGAGACTCATTAAAAAAGCAAGCATACAATATCAGAATTGAGTTGTCATATATCACAGCCCCATTATTCAAATATGTTTGTCTTGCATAAGAACAAGAAAATTTAAGACTACCTTTTAAATTAATGCAGACACAGAAACCATGAAACTAAAATATTTAATAACCTTACTAAAAGTTTTGCTATATCCACTTCTTTAAATAGGCATGAAATTGATAGGCGTATCTGAAGGATAATAATTAAATATGTTTTATATCCTACTTACTACTAAGAAACCACTTGTGAGTTATCACTGTGACATTTTTGGGAACCAAGCCATAGGTAATAGTGTCCATTAGATACCATTCACATATTTCAACTTCTTGTGTTCCCTTCCCCCATTTGTATGGAGTTGTGTTGCTAAACTGCAGATGCCCTGTAAACTCTGTGCAGAGATTTCAATGAAAAATAAAACTTGATTTTCTGTCATATGATTAATATAGATCTACTTCCATTGCTACAATGAGAATAAATGGCTTTCTTGATTAAGCAACAAATTGAGATCCCTCGGAAGGCTTTCCTAAGAGGTATTAACTAGTGAGCCATGCTAACCTTGGACTTGCCAGGCAACTGGTGACAGTAACATAATTTGAATATGACAAGCACATACCCAAAAAGGAAGCTTATTTATTGCAGATGCAGTTCCAATAACAAGTGCAGACTTCTAGAAATATACTTCTAAAAGTTGTTCTTTTGGATGGTTACTAGTAAGGCTTTCATTTTAATTGAGTGGCAGGTTAGCATCACTTGGCAGCACTGGAGAACATAAATGTTGGACCATAAAGTACAAAAACATCCTTATTGTGTTAACTTTTGGAATTTGAAAGGATCAGACAGAAGTCTTATTAGCTTGCTGAAGACTTGGAAAAATATTATTTTTTAATATTGTTTTCTCTTGTTCAGAGAAAAATTTCTGGTTATAATATTATCTACAGTTGACTTGTGCTACTGTAAGACTTTTGCCTATGGTCCTGATGGCTGTGTATCTTCCTTGAACTGTTAAAATTGTATAACAACACACTTGTGGTGCCATTCTGCATCTCTGGACAAACATTCTGTAATCCCATGGTAACAGATTAATTTGAATGAAATTTAGAATTTTTACTCCCAAGAGAGCAAAATAGATCATTTGTTGTTTTCTGGAAGGAACATTTTGCATGGTTCTTGTTTATCTTTTAAGAGGTGGAACTGAATATTTGTATCCAATAAAGAACAAGAGAGCACAGTGCAAATCTTGACAGCTATTGTTTGTGTGGAATAGCATGCAAATAACTTTATGGTAGAGAAGTTTAAAACAAGAATATGCCATTTTCAAGAGAATGATTTGAAGAGGGTGTTCTGAAAAGCACAAAGACTTGCAGTATTTTGCAGTCAGAGCTGCAAAGATATTACCAAAAACCAATTCTGTGCATGTTCACTTCATGGTACACATACCTAAAAACTGAAGTGATCTAATTTATTATGTGCAAACTGTCACAGAAATAAAATTTCAATTTGTATATTTTTGAGAATTTTCTGTCGGCTTATTTATTTCTCTTATTTATTTCAGCCAAATTTGACTAACCATTAATAAGCATTTGCACTATAGGGCTTTGATCTGGAAAAAGAAAGAAAGGTCAAATGAGAAGAAAATTCCTTTGTCTTTAGGGATGCTGCCCAAGAAGAGAAGAAACTTAGTGAATGAATCATTATTAGACAGTCTTTGTTCTGCTCTAACTATTATCTTTTAAACCACTCTTTGGCACACTTATTTTGGGATTAGCTTTGTTTGGTTGCTTTGGTTTGTTTTTTTTCTGTTTGCAGTGTTTTCTTTGGTTGTGACTCCTTTATGCTAGGTGATACTAGGTCATCTAAAAAGGGAGCAAAATCTATCTTTTCAGGGCCCAGCCCTTTGGTCCCAAGGCAAAATGAAGTTCCATTGCAGGCTTGGGCAACAGACAGAGGTGGTAGGCTGGAATGCAGTCTGTAATAAAATAGTGTCAGAAGAGTTGTAGCAAAAGGCTGTTGCTTAATTTCTTCACAGATGAGTCTGGTGCAGGTGATATATAACCCATTTTTGTTGTTTTCCTTATGTATCTTGTTACAAGTAGTATATTTTTCTCAACCTCTGCTTGTGCACTGCTAATGTGTACTAAGCTCTTTAAATATAGCAGCTACTACTGCTAGTACTAATGTCTTTCCTTTTAGCTTTTAAGTAAAAGCTTCCTAGGCATCAGTTATATTATCTTCTAATTCATTTTTCAGTTAACAGTAGGATGGGAAAAAGTTTATTTTTTTCTTCTTTGTATCAGAATAAATTAGCATTAGTATGAACCTGAGAAAGCAGGCATGAGTTTATTCCTTTTGATAGTACATGTAAAAGTTACATACAGATTATCAAGTGCAGTTACAGTCTCAAAACAATAATGGTGGTTAATCCTTATAGATGAGTTCTTAGGAAGCTGCACTTGTTTAAGCAATACATATTGTGACATTATTTATCCAAGAGTACTTTATGACTGACAAAACTATAAGTGATTTTCTATCTAGAAATCAATCTGTCCTTGAAAATGCACCTCATCCTCATTAAAAGATTGCATAATACATGCATTCTCTGTTATACAGGTATTGTCTCCCCACTTCCATTCAACCTCATTCTGTTCACTCCTGTTAAAACTCTGTTTGGGAGGAGAGTAGAGCAATGAGGTCTGACTTGTGCTGGAGATCTCTGCACAATGGCAGGCTGCATTCACATTCCTGACTAACTGAATCATTGAACATCAAGGCATTGAATATTTTACATCTCTTCATGAAGGCTCTGTCGTTTGGCATGTGAGGAGCGAGAACCAACTGGTGTCTAGTTCATTAGCAAAAGCAGGCTGGCAGCTGTTATGTTGATATTGAAAATAGTACTTTATCTGTCTGGGAATACAGCAGAGCACTAATTCTATTTTTCTGTAGCGCAGATTAACTGATAATAACTCTAAGAATAACCCGAATGTGGTCCCCCCGTCTTTGTTTTTGAAGTATGAAACCAATTTGAACACCTGTGTTCAAAACCCTGGTATTCTTCTCTGCTTCTCCTTCAAACCAATCTCTTCGACTAACATGTATTTGATTTTTATTACTGTTGGCCTATGTTAGCAATGAAGTATCAGTGCGTGAATGGACATAGAGTGTGTGTTCTTTGCTACTTCACTTGTATTTCATATTGCACTCAGAGCAGTACTTAATCTCATGAGTTCCTTATATTTCCAGTTGAAGATGAGCAGCCATCAACACTATCACCCAAAAAAAAGCAGCGAAATGGAGGCATGAGAAATTCACCCAACTCCTCACCCAAACTGATGAGGTAAGACTGTAAGAAACTCATATCTTCATCTTCTTTCTTTTTTCCTTCCTCCTCTCCTCCCCCCACATCAAAAATAAGGGGAAGGGGTGAAAAAAAAAGATTGTTAGATGGTTTCTGAAAGGCTGAAGTATTTATTCTGTCAGCTTGTCAGCAGTTAATGATAGAGCTGGAAAAAAATTCTGTCATGAAAAACAGTTTGAAAAGCTGTTTGAAAAATACATAGGCTTTAAAGTCTTAGCTGTCACCCTGTCCTGTCCATGTGTAGTTCTTAAACAGCAGTGGCACTAATGATAGCACTAACCAATCAGGGGAACTCATGTGGTTAGTTTGCCTCAGGCAATTCTCTTTTTGTTGGATTCCCTCTGAGTACTGTTTTCTGTACTTAAGGCCATATGTGAGATGTATCATCACAATCAAAAATGAACCTGAATATTACCTTCCTTTTATCCTGTCGATTGAAATCAAATTTCTGTTAATTGATTTAGACTGATGAAAAAGTCTAATAATATATGTACTTGCCAAAGCAAAGTTCAAAACTAACACAGTTTTAGTCAAGCTAAAAGCACATTAATTATGAAATACAGGGATTTTTAAGAGAGTAGTATATACTCTAAAAGTGGATGATGAAAACAGCATCTTCTTAGTGATATTTTCCCCTGTTGCTATGTATACATTATTTTACAATAGTACTCCGTTGTATAACTATGTGGTTTCCTTTAATAGAACAAATTACCTCTAAGAGATTTGTTAAAACTAGAACTGCAACAAGAGATTGTTATCTATTAAAATATTATGTGATTTGCATTCTATCTCACTATGTCTTGCCTTTTACCTGCTTAGCTCAGTCAAAATTGGATCCCATAGTAGACACAGAGTTTCCAACGAGGCTGTTCCTGCTCTGTTTTTGCATATCCTATGTACCCGGGCTAGACCTTCAGTCCATAATTGTATCCATAAGTACCATAGCAGATATTTTCTACTCCATGTGTGTACATATATATGTACACATACACAGAAAAATGTAAACTTATCTGCATTTATAAACAAATCAGGGGAATTTGAGATTTATGTGTGTATAACTGTGCCTGCTCACAGAGGATATGTGAAAAAAAAAAATTTATGCAAATTTATAGTTCTTTCCATAAATAAAATCTACTATTTTTATTATTGACAATGATTTTGTTCCTGTAACGATTCTGGATGCAGGTAGATGATATTTCTACTTGTATTTCAGTCAGTAGACTGGAATTTTATTTGGGCAGTTACAGAAGCATCCATATTTGTTTATTGTTTCTGTAATATAGGGCATATTCAAGGACATAACTTCCACAAATCGTTTTCATCTCTGTTTAGACTACAGAACCAAAAGTGAGATTGATTCACAGAGAGAAAATGCACCCAGCTGTGGCTTTTTTTCCCCCTATTGACCATCTATTTCTGTAGAATGTGTCATTAAAAGTTCTCTGCCTTCCTGTTAGCTCAGCCTTGCCCATATGACACTGATTTACATGCTTGTTTACAGTTTATGAGGAAGAATAAAATGAGCATACTGGCAAACTTCTCATTTTTATAGTGCCAGTTGTCATGCTAGCATAGTTTTCAATTTACTTACCTTTGGACAGTCCTCTTATCTAGTGCTAATTGCTTTAACTGCTTAAAACTTAAACATGGAGATTCCCCCCCTCACCTTCTCCTAGATTCTAATTTTGGGGAAGTAGAAGTAAAAAGAAAGAGAAGGGGGGAGAGAGAGAGAGTGAGAAAAGGAGCTGAACACACTGTCCCTGTTTGCTATGTAAAGTATGCCTCATTTCTTTGATCTTGAGTAATAATAATTCTGGGGAGTTATACTGTTTTCATATGCTTCAAAGCTGTGTCAAAGTTTTGCTGCTTAAGGGTACTTCTTTATTCTATTGGCTCTTGGGTACTGAGATGACAGGTCCTCTGTACTAGGTGCAGGCTTTTTCAAGTCATAGCCTTCAGCAAAACATCAAATTACCAAATACAGGGTAACATACTTCTACACAAATGCCTTTCCTGTAGATATATTATACCATATATATTAAATACTTTAGTGTTACACGGTACATTTTATGTGCAATAGAAAGTGATGGTTTGAGGTAGCCTTAGGGGTACTTTTTTCCACAAGCAGAAAAAGCTAGTGTATACCGTATCAAGTATGGTTTTTACAGGACTTTCTGCCTGAAGGCCTTTGTAAATAAGTAATGATCAACAGATTGGCTGTGGGTTTTTGAAAAGCATGCCTGTGTCAGTTTGCATGATGGGGGAAGATTTTCAAAGTACAGCCTGCTTTCATTGCCTGCTGAAGAGGGACTGAGGGAGAGTAGTCGTCCTGAGCCAGAGCTGTCTGCTCAGTAGCACATCAGAATTGCTAAACACAGGTTGAGCAGTGAGTGGAGGACTTGCCAGGCTTCCAAATCCAGACATTGTTTTCTTCCTCTTCTCTGTTGCTGCTAAATTTATTCTCCAGCCCAGTGTTCTCACCCTCAGCTTCTCCCCAGACCCAACCGTCTCTTCGTTTTACTCTTTATCTGCACTGACTTAACTTTGGTCCAAGGTGCTAGAAAAGACAAAGTGGATTGAATCAGAAGAGAGCTCTGTTAAGATTTGTTTGTAATGGTCAAACTCTTTTCTCCTCTCTGGAACAAAGGTGGACTGTATAATCTGCTATTTCGTATCCTTGTAAATTACAGAAAGTGACAGGCACTTGCTTTCCTGCCCAGAAATCTTTAGTGCATGTCAGCTAGAAGTACCCAGAGGTAAATCAGCTAAAGCACTGTCTTGTCTCTAGCTGATATTTATCTTTAGGTTTTTTTTGTAAATTTTCTTTAAAAATTCCTTTTTCAAGTTCGCTTTGCCCCTGTCCCACCTGCCCAGAAATAGCTGGCTACTTTGCAAATTTTTTCTCAGCTGTGGTTTTAGATCCAGAGGATCTAGAAGGAGCCTGGAAGACAAGAAGTCTGGAGTATGAAAACAACAAATATGTAAAAAATTCTTTAATCAATTGAAATCCAAACTGTGAATTTTGAATAATTTTGAGAAGCCCTACAGTTAAGATAATGTTGAAAATGCTGCATAGGTTTTAGATTCTCACAGTGGTGGGAGGGTATTATGCTATGAGACAAAACTTTGACTTTTGCTGGATTAGAACAGAGGATGTAAATGGTATCACAGGGATTCCTTGGGACCTCATGACAAGTGGTCTGACCTGATCAAAGAGTTGGAATTTCTGAGATTTACTAACATACAAGTAGAAATCTGCATTACTTAATATGATCCAGATAGATAGACTGGAGACGTCTTTGTAATGAAACCTTTTTGATGACTCGAAATTGCAATAAATTACTAACTGATCTAAATAGACAATTGGCATACAAATGCTCTTTGTGTGCATCACAGATGGTCTAGACTCACATTTAGGAAGTCACTGTTCTAACTGAATGCTGCATCACATCAAATGGCATGAGCAGAATCACACTGGTGCAATATTAGAAGAGTCTAATCAATCAGAAACAAATCTTTCCAACTCCAACAATACCCTCAAATGCAAATTAATCAGAAAAATATTCAGCATTGTCATGACTGTTTTTACCTGTTTTACATCAGCAAAAGTCTGTCCCATTAAATGCACAAGAGCATGGATACTTTTTTAAAAATAACTGGAATTCCAACAGGAAAAAATATACTCTCCAGTTAAGATGTGAACACAAGGACATCTTATTACAGCAAAAAGTAAAATTTAAATAGGAAATGGAAGGAAAGGGAGGGAAGGCTGTGACTGGGAGAGTAATCACATATCAGGTATCCTTCATGAAGTGGAGAAGAAAAGTAGAACCGATCAATGCCTCTGGTATCATGCAGCAATATCAGTCCTTGTTCATCATCTCAGTTGCAGGTTCTGATGCGTGTTATTGATGAGCAGCCACGTTAACTATGAGGAGACTATGTTGCCTGAATATCAAATAGAAAAGCTAGTTTTAAAAAAATGTGTCATTTTGGATTCAGAATGACCAGTAAACATGTGAAAAGCCCAGGATATGAATCAAAAAAGTCACTTAAATGATTGTTTCTGAGCCTCAAGTCTATACTTATTGCTTTGGTAGCTGCTACTGCATGAGTGGAATACACTGACTTGAAGGAAATGTCAGCCCAGCCGAGTCAAACTACCTCTTAATGCAAGAACAAATAGCATATGACAGGGCCCAAGGGGCCTGAAGAGCAAACAAATAGTTTGTCCCTGTCCACTCTGGATGTAGTAGTGTAGTTGACATAGGCCTCTAGACAAGTAGCATACTCAGCAAAGGGTCATTATCATTAGTGTCCCTGATCACATAAGAATCAAAGGCATCAGAGGACACTGGGTTTTCAGTGTTGCCAAGGAGAATTTCATAAGCCTGAGGTTTTTTTTTGATTGAGAATCTAAAATAATTCTCAACCAAACAATAAAACTTGCTCAGAAATTGTCAAGACCCAGCTAAATGACACAGAGAAAAAGTGAGCTCTTTGGCATATGTTTCTAGAAGCATAATGAGATTATTTATCTGAAGTTGAGGAGGAAACCTCCTGTCTTTTTTCCTGAGTTGTATATAATATTTTAAGTATATGAACAATGGCTGTGCACATTTATCTCCTCATCCACCCACTAAGCCACATACACACTTAAATATATACATACACATTTCTGCTAGTGGCACTCAGCATGAAAATGCATTGCCTCTGCCATTGTAGCACAGCCTTTCCATGAAATGAACCTGTGAGCTTTCTCATAGAAACAAAAAAAAAAAAAGTGGTGGCAGATCTAGGGAAGCATTTCTTAACCCAAAACTGGTAAAATAAGTTGACTCTGATAATTTTCCATTACTCCCTTAAACCATGAAGGTAAGGTTTAAAAAGGTGAAAGCCCACTGATTAATCATAATAATGGTATTTATTTATGTCCCCTAGCCTTGGAAGTTTCCATTTTGTACTCTTAAATTTATATA